AATTTACGTCGCGGTACGCAGTGTCGTCTCGTCTCTCTCTCTCTCTCTCTCTCTCTCTCTCTCTCTCGATCTGACGGAGAACGAGCTGAACGTCGTCGTTTGGAGGATATCACGTGTGAACGAGTTTTCTGCAAGCGTGACAATTGTGTGATTCAGTGCGTCAGGTTTTTCATCGTGTTGATAAACACACATACGCACACTTTGACTGTGTCTTTGATCAAGCCGTCGTTCTGCCGCGAGCGTGTCGTCGTGTCGTGTCGATTTCGAGAGACGGGATCCGAAGGTTTCTCTCGTACGTATCGAAGCTTCGCGGGCGAACAAAGACCGGCGCGGGAGCGATAACACGGCGTGTCGATAGAGCGCCGACGTTAGTCAACCGCTTCCGATTCCGTTGATTTTCAGTCTCTATCTATCGGTCGCAGTTGCGATACCGCCGTATCGTAAGATACGGTAAATTGTCAATCGGATGCTGATCAGCCACCTATCTCGTCCGTGGCGCTCGATCGATCGATCCCGGCTCGATCGCGGATCGTCCCCGCCGCGCGCGCGCGCGCGCACGCGCGCGAATCAAAGGTCTGCGTTCGATCGAGAGCCTCTCGTTTCCCGGAAAAATCGGAGCGATACAAAGAGCGGCAGATAATAGCGCGCCGTCCTCTCGCTCAGAGGGATTACTCGCCCCTCTCTCTCGAGTAAGTAACCTCGGTCTCTTCGCGAGTAAGTTTCAATCCGCCTTCAATTCGCCGGAAGTCGGGCTTGTTTACGTTCTCTCCTTACGATTTTGTATTCTGCCGATTATTTCGATCTGTTCGTTCGGAATTCCACGTCGTACGTCGAATTCCTGAAACTTGTGCGTTCTATTTGTGTTGTGTATGAATTTTTTTATTGTTTAATTGCGGAATTGTTCAAAAGGAATGTGCCCGTCTGGAGCTGTTATTTTGCTTCTCATAACTTTCGCCTGATTGATAAACGAAACGTTTGAAACGAAATGACAGAGAAACTTCGGAGTTTCTGTTATCCGAATAGGAAAGTATTGTTTTGCTCGAATAGCGCGAATAGAGAATGAAAAGTCTATTCCGTTTCAATGAGCCATTAGTTACATGGGTTCTTTTGTACTCGGATTGTACAGGATTTTCCGTTCCTGCGTCGTTACTTGTTACTTTTACTCACAAATCATTAGGAAATTGTGCTTTAAGAAAATAAAGTAAAGTAAAGCAAAAGGCACGTTGAGAAATTGGATGGGGTTTAACTACTTTATTAAATAAACTTAATTAAATTGCCGTTCTATAAAAGAAATAGATATTGAAATAGATAAAGAGAGAAAATTCGAGCAGTTTTAAATTTCAAATGGAAATTTTCTTCGATATCTCAAATCGATATTCAAAATCTTTCGTTTTAACAAAATAGCAAGATTTTTGTATTAAAAAATATATCTTTATCGACGACAGATCGAGTCGATAGGATTTCAGTTAGGAGGATCGATATCGTGCCATCTCCATAAATTTACCATAAATTCAAATAGCAAGTAGCGAATAACAACCGGAGTTACTGAACCAGAGCAAATTGTCGGCGCAATCAGATCGATCACGTCTCGCACGCGATCTATCACTATTTTCCGATGATAACGATCCTCTGTGCCTTCTTATCGATCTACGTGCGCCAAAAACGGACGAATCCCGCGAGAGGCTATCCATCAAACGGATATACTTTTTGCCCCGCAGGCCGCGCGCACGGAGAACGCTCTTATCTCGATAATAGTTATCGAATAGACGAGAGGCAAGCCGGAGACTCGAGTCTCGGGAGTTTCAAAGGAAGAAAAAAGGAGACGAGAATCACTGCGAGAATCACTGCGAGCGGCGGAGAGCGACTCCTCGAGATAAGGGAGGACAGCAACGGGGAGGAGCCTGCCGATTGTAAATTATATTCACCCGCGCGTTCGCGGCTGCGGAAAAATCGGCCGAGCGGACGAAATAATTATTGTGCGCGTTCCATCTCTCGCTGTCCCTCTCTCCCTTACTCCCCCGTGCACTCCGTGAGAAAGGAGGAGGAGGATTAATCGCGCCATGCCGATCGCGACGTGAATCGAATGCGAGGTCCGCCGCGTCGTCGTCGAGGGGCGGAGAACGCGCCCGTGGCGCAAAGTGATCGGCAAAGTGTCGTCGTCGCGGCGATCGTTCGTCGCCGGGGAGGACGCGAAGGTGGAGAAGAAGAAAAAGGAGGAAGAACAGGAAGAGAAGGAGGAAGAGGAGGAGGAGGAGGAGGAGTGGGACCGGGACCGGGACCCGTCGTCTGGATGCCAGTTCTCGAGGGCGGAGTGCGAAAAGGGCCGTGCGCAAATGCGGATGAGAATCTGCGCCGCGACCAAGGAGTCCTACACGCTCCTCTCCAAGAAACGGTAAAGATATATACATTCCCTCTCCGCGTGATCTCGATTCTCTTCCTCGCGGATCTCCGCGGCCGCTTCGCGGAGAAATAATAATTGCGAGCGCTAATAGAAATCCTCACGTACGATTGTGATATCTCGCGCGCGAGCCACGTGCGCGCCGCGCTCTCATCTTCCGCGGCTTTCCCCCTCTCCCCCCCTCCCCCCTCCCCCTCCCCTCCTCCCGTCCGTTTCCTTCCTAC